ACATCGTCAGAGCAGGACATTATCCTTAACGATAATTCACCAAAAACAAGAAGGCAAAAAAGGTGGCCAGATTCAAACCTACTTCCTTTTTATATTCTAATTTGGTCCACTTATGCATATCATGCTTTGGTTGGATGTCCTATGGTTTGCGTCTACATTTGCTCATAAGTCAAGTTAAGTGGCTGTGGATGACGTGTGAAGTGGCTACAGATGAAGCGTGAAATGGTCGCAATTGAAAACGAACAGCTGCATCTTCCCATAAAACACTTATTACTTTGCTTCTAAAATGTTACCGCATGTGATTGTGTCCCATTGCACATGTGTTGTGTGAGTGAACTGCTCCTGAAATGAGTGTGATGCGAGAGGGAAAACCCAATTCTTGCCTAAGTAAGGTTCTTTTCGATCAGTAGTTCTTATCGTTTCCCCCCTCTCTCTCTCCAAACCTACCCAACAGCCACAAGTAGTTTCCGCTTAACTTCTTTCATTCAATCCTTCTATTCAGAGTTCTGGCTGTTTTGTTGATTTCTATTGCCTCTAATATTTCGCTTACTTCTATAGTCTTCATATCCAGCTAAGCGTTTGGCATTCGACTAATCTATCTGGTGTCCTGTGCGAGCCATGTGTTCAGCTAATTCTGATTTTGAGACCCGCATACCGTTGCAGGCTGTTTTGTGTTCGGATAACCTCTTATGTATGTGTCTACAGATCTTTCCCATATGGGCACTACCATATGAACCCAAGATCTTGTAGCACCTCGATCTGGAGAGCGGGTCAGAGTGTTCTCAAAAAGAAGGCAATACCGAGGACAGTGATCTTTTCTCTTTCTTAATGGTTCTGATGCCCCACTTCCTCAGTAATTCACCTATATTCTTTGAAATATTACACAAATGCAGCATAATGATCCTGGTCGAATGATCTATCTTTTTATCTAGTCACAAATATGTATTTACCTTCATTCTATTTGTCCTGCTCTGACGATGTCCGTCATATGACGGACGAAAGCTCTGCAAGGATTCATCGGGGTCGCAGGGCGGTGCGCCGAGGACCTATTCGTACAAATTTACAACCACAGCTCCAAGGCAACCCCCCCACAGCCATCGTTGGAACCAACTTACGAATCCCTTCTACTCACCTCTTCAAACGACATGAAAGCTAATCCAACATAAATACCAAATATGCCCGTCTAGAATAGACCGTTTACAAGTACCGAGCCAATAAACCTTCAATTACCGTGATGCAGTGCCATTTATGAGTCTCAGCTGTTTTCCATTCTGCCCAATCCTTAGGGCACTATTGTATTACTTCTTTT